TTTCCACAGTAACCATTCCAAAGTATGGCCATTTTCAGAGATTACGTTTGCTGAATACCGTTTTTTTTTTTTTTTTCCCTCCACTGTTCAATATAAAGTACTTTTCCTTTCCACAGCTTATAAAAGAAGACTAATCCGCAAACTGAAAGCCACGTCCTTCACTCTTCCCTCTGACGAACCTTGATGCAGAGAATAATATTCAGCAAGCGGTTAATCACATCGTAACCATTGCCTAAGGCCTGGTTTGTACAGGATGAAAAGTCAGCGAGTGGTGAGTTTCCAAATGACCCCTGTCAGCTCCTAAAAAGAAAAGGCAAAGACAACAATAGCCCGTGTTAGCAGGAAAGACCAGCTCAAACACAACTAAATGGGGATCCAAGTGTAAGAGGAGGAGCAGAAAAATGTCCTTGCATCCCCATCTAGTGGCTTTTGGTAAAATAAATCTGTAGTCCCCTTTGTTCGGACATTTTCTTCTCTACCTGTTAATGCAATCTGCTAAATGATAGACAAGCACGTTGCTAAACTTGCATCAGAAGTGCTGGACTTAGTCAAAGTTGCTTGATTTGTTGTATTTCCTTAGATTCATTTTTTTATAAATATTCCTCAGAAAGTTTTCAGGTTTTCTTCACCTCTTCTCACTTCGTGGCCAGAGCTGCTGCAGCAGCAGAGAGCTGCTGAGGACCAACAGGCATGTTCACTGCCTGGTGTAAATACCAGGGTTTGAGAGATGGTAGAACTTACCATGAATGGAAAGGAAGTATTTACTCAGCTGTCAAAAAAATGTTAATTTAGCTAAGGTTATTCTTTTTAAGAACAGGACAAACCAGGAAGATTCACAGAAGATCAGCCAAAGCTTCTGGGAAAGGTGAGCATCCCCCACTGGACTCGTACCTGCTCTCCTACTGTTTGTTCTCTCTGTTTACCCAGAAAAGGGTGACTCATTGTCATATTTCCATTGATGGCATAAAAAGAAATTCCTGTTTTTTAAGAGATTTTTGCCCAGCAGAGTGGATTCTCCTGGGGTACTTTGGCTGCTCAGTGTTCAGGCCTGTTGCTTTTGGAGGTGGTGCAATGTCACACATTCAGTGGTGGCTGGACTCAGCCTTGCTTTAAGAGGAGGTGAGTAAAACAGAATTTTAATTCTGATTCTTCATTTCAGGTGTGATTGAAATGTAATCTGTAGTGTTAATAACTCAGTGCTACTTTTGTGTTATCTGCTCTCTGAGCTCAGCCCCCATGGGTCTCTGGGTCTGCCAGCAGTTTCCATCCCCTTGAGGCATGATGTGATTTATCCTAACGGCTCAGCTGTCACTTCTGCACCTCCAGACTTACTTGTTCCATGTTACAGGCTGGTAGATGAGCCTCACTGAAGCACACGAGCATCAGTTTAGCACACCAGTACTGCTGAGAAACCTTAACATAAAGCTAAACTCCCATGGAGCCAAGCTTCTCTGGATGTATCTGCTCCTGAGCTGTCCCAGCCCTGTGAGAGTCCCTCATCGCAGCCTTGTTCCTTAGCAGAAACTCCTGTCTCCCTTAGTCCATCCTCTTGAAGCAGAAAAACTTCTTGAGGACCAGTCTCCATGGCCTTACTGTTTGCGCTGCTGACTTTGAGCTACAGCCGAAACCTGCTGGCAATTCTCCACCTTTCTGTACAGTGGGATTTGCAGACGCCTTGGAGGACTGTGCCTGTCGGATGGTTTAATGCTGCTGACACTGTGCTCCCAGCTCGTGCTATTGGCAGCAGCATGGGTACAACCAGGGAAATTTAAATTCTGAGCGTATTTTCCCAGCTGAAGACCCGTGAGCTCTCGGGGGGGGGGGAAAAAGGCACATTTTACCATACCTTTTTTTTTTTTTTTTTTTTTAACACTGCATGGTTTGTAGAGCAAAAGCTGGTCTTCACCTTGAATCAAAGAACCTTTTCAGAAGGTGGTCACGTTGGACTCTCCCTCTGCCCTTGCCTTAGCTCTATAAATACAACTACATGAGATATGACCTCTAGTCAAATAGTTTGAAAAAGGTGGTTTTAAGAGGTCCGAAAGAATTGCACCAGCAACCATGATTTAATAAAAAAGGCAAGAAGGGCTGTGTTAACAAAAATAATTGATCTCCAGACCTAGATGCTTTGTATTTTGTGAGGTTGAATCAAAATGTGGCCGGAGCAGCCAGGTTCAGAAACAGTGAGTGATCTTAGGGAGGGATGGGTTCTCCTTCTCCGATGTCACCTTTTTCAGTATCAGAACTCAGATAGGAAAAAAACAACTGTATACACATATAAAAACAAATACTGGTGCTTGAACTCCAAGATCTGCTGCTGCTCAGGAGCTGTTAAATATTTAATAGAATTAATGAGTGACAAAATTTCTTCCTTTAATGAGAAATCTTGTCTTTAACTATCAGGAAAATGGGTGCTGCAAAATTGCTGATTAACTTCCTCTCTATCAGAATGTGCCTAATGCAGAATAACATGTTTGCACCAAATATTTTACTTAGAAGAGCGACTGGTTATACTGGTGGTTATAAACTGCTGGTTATACCTTAGAAGTTTTTTTTCTAGGAAACTGAAAATATCTAACTGATGAAAACATTGTCATTAAAAAGGGAAACACTGCTGCAGAAGTAAAGAGCTCTGCTCACAAGAAAATCAGCATTAAAGTACTTGGGCCTTAATCAGTTGTTCAAGGTGAAGCTGGGAGCGTGTCAAAAAATAAACTAGTAATGCCATGAGGAAATCTGTAAAGATGTGAAGGACTTTCCTGATGTTCATCAGCCTAAAAGCTGGCACTATTGAGAAGTTAAATTCATTGAAGTTTGCTTTCCAAATACCCAGACTTTCCTGCCTGAAAGCACAGGTCTTAGGCGCCTTGTGGTGGGCTGATAGAGATGGAGCATTGAGGGGGCTTGGTGCTGTGGGCGATACCAGCCTCGGGCGGGCTCGCCTGTGGGAGAGTGAATCATCTATTTCTGCAGGGTCAGCCCAAAACTGACCTCCACAGCTGCAGTGTGTGGGGAAAAACACTGTTGCTTTGTTTTTTTCTCTCATTGCAGCCTGGCTCTAGCTTTAGCCATCATCTCCCTGATCAAAAAACACAGCTTTTTCCATTTGTACGAAAAACACAGTTTAGAGCGGATTTAGTCACGAGCTTGCCAGAACAACCAAAAGCACAACGTGCAGAGGGTACATCCTCCAAAGCCACCCTGCCGCCAATTCCTGCTGGCACAGGCAGCTGCCCACAATGTGCTGTTGTTTCCAGTGCTGGGGGAACAAAGGCTGTTGTTGTAGGCTAATGCCGGCTCAGTTGTGGCATGCGCCTATGTGGGCTGTTGGAACCAGGGTGGGGGACGCAGGGGGGGTCTGGGGAGGGGTGTCTGCCTGCAGTGGATGTACGGGGAAGTTTCCAAGGGCTGTGCAGCTTCTGGATGCTGGAGGTTTCTCTACAGCTCCTGTTGCTCTGGGGAGGTAAGGCTTTCTGTTGGGACCTGCTGGGTGTCCAGCCCTGAAGGTGGCATGGCAGGGTGGGGGGGATGCCTGGTCCAGAGTGCAGGTGGTGTGGTGGAGCTGGGATGAGGTGGAGGTGACTGTGGGACACGAGGGACCTGTGGCTGCAGCGTGTGGGGCTCGGCTGAGAAACAGCAGGTGCCATCCACCGCTGCGTGGTTGGTGTCTGGGGTCTGGCATCGCTGGTGGGAATGGTGAGGGGTGGAAATGGCTGATGCAAAAAACAGCATCAGGAGCCAAATCTGCATTTTAGAGCTAGCAAAAGGGTTCTGGTCTTTCCTCAGCTTTGTTTTGAATATTTTGGTTGAGAGCAGCAATGTGGCCGTTTCTAGTTTAACATGCTGCTGCAGACCTGCCTTGAGGTGAAGATAAATCCACTTGGAAGCCAAATCTAGGATAAACCAAGACAGGTCACTTGATGGTGAAGCTTCCCCACCTGAGAGTGTGATCCCTGGCCTCAGTCAGCAGTGTGGGGCAGGCAGTGTTTTGAGGAAGGGATCTCAACAAGGGAGAAGTTTTTTATTTGTCATCTGCTAAATCCGTTGTGCCCATTTCCCTTCAAGGAATGGGAATGGAGAGGATCCTATTGCTGCGCTTTCCACCACCAGACCTCATGTGGCCATACAAAGTCTCTACATCCTTTCTTTTTTACCTTTGTGTTGTTAGATTTTAGTCAAAAGGACCATCAGTCTTGTGGATTCTGTAGTTCTTGGTAGGAGAAAATCAAAATTCAGGTGCAGGGAGCACCCAGGATTGCCTACATTTGTAATAGCTGCTGCTATTACTCCCATCCTGGATGACTGCCAGCCACCTCCAGCTTGGTCATCTCTCCCCCCAAAAAGTTTCCTTGCTTTCTAATCCCTGAGGTTTAGCAAGCAGAGTGGGGGCAGACTGGGCTCACTGTCCCCTGACCCAGCTGCCCATCCTCCTCACCAGGCAGGGACAGTGGGCTGCTCTTGAGGCTTCAGTGTCCGCTGGCAGGTATTGCTGTTATGCCCCATTTTCCCCTGAATCAGATAAGTTAAAATCATTTGCTGAGGTCCCTGGGCAGCCAAAAGACCCTATTCTCTCTGGACAAAGTGGGGATCTCCCAGTGAATCCCCACCTGTCCCTCAGGCAGCAGCATGGCAGGGATGCAGGAAAGCAGCTCTTCCCATCCGGGGCAGCGAGCACGGAGGAGAGGCAGGGTTCAAAGCAGATTAAAAAGCAGATGGAAATGGTCCCCAGGTCTGCCTGGTGCTGACACCCCTCTGCCACTTCCACTCAGGTTTTAAAGTTTTGAAAGTCTCAATCTGACCGTTTCTTTTTTTCCCTCCCCTTGAAAACAGCGCAGCTCCCTTGCCATGAGGACAGCCCTGCAGAGGTCAGGCCTTGTGCATCGCCCAGCCCGGCCCCTCGCTTCTTCCCGTGGGGGCTCGGGTTTCCCTTTCTCGCTCCCATGACGCCTGTCCCGACAGGTGCCCGGGGTCACCGCCAGCCTTGCGGCCAGCCAAGCGGCCGGCGAGGAGCAGGGCAACGGGGGGACATGTTAACGTAGGGACCAGGCACCTGGCTAACCCCCAGCCACTTGCCCAACTGCCGTGTCCCGGCACAGCTCCCGTCCTGACCATGGATCCGACCCCGGAGATGAAGAGGTACGTGGGTGCTGGAAGGGAGCGAGGGTGAGCGTGGCCCCACTGTCCGGCTGGGTGGCAGAGCCAGCCCCACTGTCCCTGTGTCACGGACAGATGTGTGTAAGGTGGGAGTGACAACAGATGTGCCCGTGCCCGGGGCGGGATGGGGACTAAGCTAGCCTTTGGGAGGAGACCTTTAGCCCCTTAGCAGCCCAAATTTAGATGTAATGAAATTATGAACCGTAGAGATATTCTTGCAAATTGTGTTGCTAGAAACATCTTGAATTTAATGATTTTTTTCAACTTGAAGGTGCTGCATCACCTAAAGTGATGGTGAAATCCTTCTGTGCCCTGTGCCTGCAGTCCATAAGGCAACTGGCTCAGTTTGTGGAGGGAAAGAGGTCTAAGATGGCTAACGGCAAGCTCCAACCTAGCCAGGAGCTGTGGCAGGACCAGCTGCCCACAAGCATCCCGCTCCCTGGCAGTCACTGCTTCGGTCCTGCTGTTGGGTACCGGGGTCCTGGGACAGGCAGCACCAGCACAAAGTATTGCACTTAGTTTTCAGATCTGGGCTAGATTTAAAGCCAGATTTTAGAGGAAGTCCATTTTTTCCTAGCAATAACTAAGCCTGTTTCACCTTCCCAGCAACAAGTGTTAATCAATCTTAGAAACTGCCTGGGGAGAAATAGCAAAAGTCTTGGTGGAAGAGTTATCTTGGCATCATCCATCCTGGTGAATACTTGGGCTGCAGTCTGTCCAGGTCACCTGGCAGGTCTCCTGGGATGGCTGGAAACATTTGACCGGTCAGAAATGGAGTTCATGTCCTGGGACCCCAAGAGTTGTTCCTCTCTGAGCAGGGGTAGCCACGCTACCCCTCAGCATTTTAGTGAGAGATTTATTCTGAAAACCATCTTGCTCGGTTCAGCCAGCTGAGAGGACAAAATGGTCCTCTGTTATGTCAGGCAGAGATGGAAGAGGTCAGAGGTTTGAGTGGAAATTGAAGGGACTAGCCTGCAGCCAAGCTGGAGCTTATGGAAGCAGGCTGAGTTCAGGCTTGTTACTGCCGACCTGTGCTGTCTTTTCTGGGGAGAGGCGAGGTCAAGGTGGTGGAACTGAGACCTTTGATGTACCTCGTGGGAGCCAGGTACATGACTTTGGCAGTGAACTCAGATGAAATCAACTCATCTTGCAGGACTCTGGCAGCGCCCCAGCATCTCTGAGACAACTTACTCTTTTCTTGCCTTCATCATTATTAACACACAGCCACTTCCTTGCTACCTGCTAGTGCAGTCATTTTGTATTTGTATCTCAAAGTCCCACTACAAGACTCCCTTCTTTCTTTTCCTCCTCCTGGCTTGTTTCTTACTCACACAGGAGTTTTTTCCCTGGCAGAGGGTACTCAGAGGCTGCTTACTGCTATTGCAGGCTACTTGTCATGAAGCACTTTCTAACAGAAAAGTTTTGGGAGTAGCAACATGTCTATATATCATCCCTAAGTCTTGCTGTGCATATCAATACAGAAATGTGGTTACCCAGATGACTATTCACCTTGCATAGATAACCTCACCCCAACACTTTATTTGCAGAAGTGAGGTCCTTGCTCCAATTTAATTTCCTCCCTTCCTTTTGCTAGTGGCACCTCATCCCCATTTTATAGATGAGGCACACTGTCAAAGAAAAGTGAATATGTGACTTCATTGCTGGAAGTCTTCACCAAAAAAAACCCTAAACTAAGAATGAAAACATGTGACTGAATGAAAACATTTATGGTCAAATGACCTTTTTGACTTTTGAGTTCTCTACCTTCTACAGATTACCCAATGTAACATTTGAAGACAGAAAAATCTGAAGTTTAAAAAATGCAAAGCAAAAAGATCCCTGAAACACTGGGTGGGACAAGCACTTCAGATGCTGAAGCACACTAGAGCCTTTTCCTAATTCCATTGCTATTTCTCCTACTCCATTCATGATTACACACAGAGTGTGTAATATCAGCCAGTCCAGTGCCTCCCACTCTGCTGACTGGTTAACAACTCTTCAGAGGTAGGAAGAGCTTCCACAACACGTCTCAGCCAAGTGCTGGGGCAGGTGTCCTGTCCGTTGCAGATGCTTATGAGTTAACCAAGAAGTTTTGACTTTCTTTAGTCTAGTAAAAGATAACAAATAACATTGATTATCAGGCAAGGAAAATTTGTCCTGGAGCGTCTTCCTTTTGTTCTGCTTCAACAAAGTGTACAGGTTCTTCAAATAACTGAAGTGCTATACTTTCCTTACAGGAATAGGTTCCCCAGCATGAACTTTGAAGCAGAGATTCTGACAGCTTCACATGATAATTCAGGTATTTGGGAGAAAAGAAAAAAAAAAAAAGGAGATTCAATTAAAATGCCTGCTTGTCTTGCTATCACTACAAACATGTTTAAATTCTTTTAGAGTTAGAGATTGTTTGGGAAAAAAAAAAAAAAAAGAAAGAAACAGGATGCTAAACTGACTGCAATTCAGGTGATTTCAGGTTCGTGTTAGGGTATAGTTCAAAGTGTGAAGATAGATGCCGGTATCTTTACCTCTGATATGTCCGGACATAGGGTCTCCATGCACACCTACCAAAAGCACAGCTGACAATGACGTGTGGTTTTGGAAACAGCACAGGCATTCAATTTAAGATTGCACAGTCCTGTATGAGACATACATAGTTTTCTTACTAGTGGCAACTAAAAGCAGATGATAAATAAGCATCTCCTCAATAAGCAAAAATGAGAATGAAGATGTCCTGTCCTTCATCCTCATCTTGTTTAGGAGGAAAAGCTGATTTTTTCCCTATTCGATGCTACCTTTCCCATGCTGATCTCACACACTGAGGCTGACGCTGTGACAGCCTTCGTACTGCAGGTCTCTGTCTGAGATAGACCCCAGAGCCAGTACGGAGTTTCATGGCATCTTCTCATGAGCCTCAAGTCTTAGTCTTATCATTGCTCCTCAGACCCAAGCAGTTGCCAGAGCTCATGTCCTGGCAGCAGCACTGTCATTAAGGTGAGACAGCAGGAAAGCGAGGGTTTTCAGTAATTGCTTGCAGCCCCTTGAGTAGCCCTGGGTGTCAGTTCAGAACTAGAATTCCTGGTCTCAGCCACCCACATTTGAGCATCAGCCCATTAAAAAAAAAATGCTTTTGCTATCAGTTGCCCTCCTGGCCACAAGGTGCAGTTTCCAGCGGTGAATTCACCTTTCTGGCAGTGCATTGCAGTCCGATGGTGGCAAGAGTCAGAAATGAGGTGCACAGGGTTGACTATTTTCGCTTTAGCTGCAGGTGGCAGTTTTTGTGTTGCACCACCCCTAATAGCAAGAGTACCAACAGCTGGCAACTTCAGTTTCACTGTCCTGCATATGTGCAAGCGATGGCCCCTCCAGGTTTGGACCCACTGTGCTATTCCCTTCACCTTCTTGCCTTGAGTCTTCCAGGAAAACACTCCAGTTACCTCCTTTTCTGCAAACCGAGTACCTCATATCTGGCTAAGCATTTTGGAGGCATTTTCCTCAGGCTGACCTGTAGTAACGAGGCACTTAACAAATACACTGATGTCAAAGGGTATCTAAGAATAATTTTCAAACTCTGAGTGTGCACAGGTTGGAAAGTGTTTGTATGAGCCCACCTGCATGGATGGCTCCTGGGCCATTCATCCTCCATACTGTCTTCCCAAGTCTCTGGCCTCTGTTGGGTTGGGTTGGGTTTCTTCCATGAGGTAAGTGCTTTAATCCTTCACTTGCCTCGAAATCTCTAACACACAATCATATTTGTTTCTCAAGAGCTATACGTGATCCCTTCCATGAGAAGTCTCACGGCTGAGGAGTATGTAGAGGCCTTTAAGTCATTTTTGGATCATTCAACAGAGCACCAGTGCATGGACCAGTTCAACAAGGAAGCAATGCCCAACATCATGGCTGGGTAAGGAGTGCTTCCACTGGGCTGGGAAAGCTAACTGTTGTCCTGGGAGGGGGGGGAAATCTGCATGCAAGGGGCAGCAAACATGTTGAAGGATTTCCTGGAGCAGGAATGAACTTTTAATGCTTTTCAGTTTTAAGTCCCTTAATAGCGGCCTTTAGCATATTCTGTTTAATGACTCCAGAATACGTGCTATTTCAGTTAATACACTGTGCTGCCTCTCAGCTTATGTTAAGGAAAGAATCAAGACCTCATTTGCATGTTTGTCTCTTTTCATTAGCTGATTTTCCAAGGATTAAAGGGGTTTTTTGTTTGTTTGTTTTATTCAAAAGAAAGCTCTCTTATGCTCTCTCCCTGCTTTTGGGACTTCATCACACATCAGTGAAAACAGAAACACATCTCTAATTCTCTGCTAGTGACTAATTCTTGGTTTCCTCAATCCCCTAAGACCTCCTTATTTCTATCCTAAGTCGATTTGCATTGCTTAAGTACCAAATGATAATCAGTTTTGTGAAGTATTAATGTAATATATTAAACATGGATGACTGCAGATAGTTTTAGAACAGCTTAGATCCAAACCACAAGAAAGTCCTTTCAAGTTTGGGTAATTTTTAGATGTTATATAGAAACTGCATTCTCCATTGAGAAAAAAATTTGGCAGGCAAATTTTTTTCTCCAGAGCAGATATATATATATATCTATATCTATCTATCTATATCTATATAGATATCGCTATAAAATAATAATTAAAAAATAATTTCTATTGGGAAATTTTAATTGAAAAATTTACTTATGTGAATTTTAAATGATGCAAAACATTGTGGCTGATTGTGGGTCTGTCAAAAGGTCTTGTCCCTCATTTGGGCTAAGGCTCTTTGACTAACTCACAGCCTCCAGGATTTACTCCTTGTTTCTCTCTTGTTGAATCATTGCTGTGGTGTCTCCTGAGACTGTGTATGGGAAACTCAATCCCCCTGCACTGTCCATGCCTGAGAGCAGAATAAGGCCATAAAGCATGTCAGAGCAGCGAGGCACCTCGAGCCTGGGCTCCTCATCCTCGAGCCAGGCTGTTATTAAATATTCTGCTAGGAAACATGATTGTTTGGGTTTTTTTGTTTTTTTTTTTTTGTCTTTTCAAGAGTATTTTTTCTAAGATAAAACCTATTGAAAATTTTGACCTTCCCTCCCAATTTCCAACTGAGATTAATGTTGAGAAGAGAGGATTTCAGGTCACCTGGAAAGCCTGATTTTTAACTTTTTGTGGGTATTTATATCCAACATTGGAAAACCAAACTTCTGAGTGTGTGGAGGTTTTGCCCTGACTGACCTTGTCCCTGCATCCCCAGCAGTGTCCATCCCAGCCAGGCATAGCCCTGTTACCCCCAAAGAGAACCTTTTGCCCTGGGGTTCCCCAAGGTCTTTTTCCATGGTGCCAGCCACAACTTGAAGAAAATTCTCTGGCAAAGGATGAGAAACACTATATCCTGATGCCTACTGTACTTTGAAATATGAGCTTGCTAATATGGAGCTGGCTCCCACCACGCAGCTGGTTCTAGCTGGGCTCCAAAGGGATGCTCGAATTTCTGTCCCAAATCATGTGGCAAAACATGAAAATTTCCAGGTCAATATGGCATCCAAGATATTAGAATTAAAACATGAAGTCGTGTGACATAGTATGGTTAAGTAATGTGTACTTATAATTTCAGTCTCGGCAATGGAAAATCGACTATAAATGTTCTGGGAGTTGGAAGCGGCACAGGTAAGGAGTTTAGCAGCACTGCTGATGCTGGGGGATGGAGGGTCCCTGTGGGCAGCAGAAAGTGATACTGAAATTTTGAGCAATGGGGATATCTACTCAGGCATCAATAACAGTGTTTCTCATTGAAGCAGAGAACAGCAAAATGGGGCGTGGAGCTGGGATGAGAGCGAAGCTCCCTCCCTTCCTTCCCTGTCTCCATTCTGAAACGTTGCTGCTCAAATTTTTCCAAGTGAGATGCGTGTGATGAATTTAGCTTAGTCTCTGCCTCTTGATGACTCTCATCTGACTTTATATGTCTCAAAGTAAGGAGTCCTGCTCCAGGTTATGTACAAGAGCATCTTCAAACCTCATCGGAGAAAATTAGATACATCTGGGAGGTTCGTTCTATCCGAAGTCTTGTCCTAGACTATCTCACTTGAAGAGATCTCTCTTTTTACTTTGCTTTTAGGTCCCACAGGCCAAAGCTGGGCAGTGCTCTGCTCCAGGTGGTGCAAAACCATCTGGACACAACCATTAGCATGGGGCTGCATCAGCTTTTTCAAGATGGGTTTCCATGTTATTACTTTGTTTTTATCCAGTGATAAGTAGGGCTTAACTGCAAATGATGTTTCCCCCCAGAGAGAAACCCATCTTTTGGAAAAGCAGCTTTAAAGCTGTTGTAAATGCATTTGTCTTTAAAAACAAAACAAAACAAAACAAAACAAACAAACAAAAAAAGAGTGGTCCAGCTTTGCTCCTAGGGAAACTGGGAGGAAATAAAAAGTAAAGAAAAGAAGTGACAGTCTGATTTGTCAGAGTTTGCTTTTGCTTTAAAAAGTATTTTCAACCGAATTTTAAGTGCTAGTACTTTCAAGTGAAGGTATTTTTCTTTTTTTTTCTTTTTTTTTTTTGTTTTGTTTTGTTTTGTTTTGTTTTGTTTTCCTGAGTAAGAGAAAACCAGCATTGAACTGTTTTCCCCAATTGGGAATATGTTGGAGCATATGAGAAAGCAAGCAGGAAGAAAATAATTCAGTTCTCAATTACACTCTATTTTCATTAAGTAATATAAAACCGAAATTCTGAGTCTAAGAAAACACAAGGGAAAAATGAACTTTTTGCACTGTCCTAATTTTTCCTTATTTCCCCTTCAGAAGTTGTTTTAATGGAAAAGTAAAAACTCTAAAATTTCCAGGGTTTCCTGGGTAACTGCCCCTCACAGGTGATGGGACAGGGG